GGGAAGGGGGGACATCATAGTGCTTCACGTTAACCAGTTGCACTACCAGGGAGGACCAGAAATTACTTTCTTTCTTTACTTTAAAAAAAGCAAGCATGGGGAATTGAATCATCAGAATGTGTGTATCAAACATTATATGTGTGATTCTTACCCTGGTATAATATGACATTCTTCAATTGCTACAAACTTGAATTATATCCTCTTAATAAAAATTCCTATTGAAAATGTGATGTCAGGTTGTTTGGGGGGCAGTGGAGAACCTGCATCAGCATGTTAACTATGAACCAATTCGTTATGGAATATAAACTATTTTTAAAGGAACATTTCAGATGGATTAAGGCAAACTATAGTATAGGTTAGTAAGTAGAAGAGAGGCCACAACAGTTTATGGAGAATTATTACTAATTCTTCTTTAAATTTGGATAAAATTCAACAGTAAAGACATCTATGCTTTGTTGTAAAAGGTTTTTAAGTTATTAATTCAACTACTTAATATAAGTCTATTTATATTTTCTATTTAGAAAAGTTATGTCTTGTTAGACTAGAATTTGTCTATTTCTTCTAACTTACCTGGTTTCTTTACATACAGTTGTTAATCATGGTCTCTTACAACCTTTGTTTCATTCCTGTGGTGTTTGTATTTGTCCTTTACCTTCAATTCTGATTTTGCTAATTTGAGTCTTTTCTCTTTTCTTCTTAGTCAGGCTAGCTAAAATGTGTCAAATTTGTTAATCTTTTCAAAGAACCTACTAGTGTTTTTTTCTTTATTATTTCTTTTCTCCCTTTCATTGTCTTTATTGTGTTCTTCTTCCTAATTGCTTAGAGTTTACTCTTTTTCCACTATACTAAGGTGCACATTTAAGTTACTGATTTGAGGTTTCTTTTTTCTTAAATTTTACTGTTGATAGCTATGAAAAGTAGTAATCTGATCATTGTTTTAATTGTACCTTAAATGTTTTAGTATGTTGTGTTTTCACTTCACCCATCTCATCGTATTTTCAACTTTCCCTTTTGATTTCTTCTTTTAAGGAAGAAATATCCACATATTTAATATCCACATATTTAATATCCACATATTTTTGAACACTATAACTTTCTTCTTGCTATTGTTATGTATGTTCATTTTATTGTGGTTGGAGCAGATGCTTTGTATAATTTCAATTCTTTT